AATACCTTCAGTTTCTGAGGATTCAAGATGCGCTTTGTTTTATGTTTTAAACAGTATTGTTATTGCCTCATAGTGACCTGGCATGAAGGGACACTAATGCTGAAATTCAATGTACTGGCAGATCCCACACTAAGCCCATATAGGGAACTTCCAAAGAGCATCTTTTTCAGGAAGGAAAATTCAGTATTTCAGGTATCACCTTAATCATGCCTTGTGGTTTTTAGTCCAGTTATTAGCTCATGAGGAGATTGATACTAGAAGGGAGAGATAAGGCAGGGAAAATTAAGAAAAATTTAAAATTATGCTCTTGTTTTCAAAAGAGTAAGAAAATATTCTCAAAGTTTGTTGATGAAGCAAAGATCAAATCCTTTAGCGCAGCTCAGCGCACAAAGCCAGAGGTGTGCGGTGACTGCAGTTAATTTGGAACAGCTTCTATGTTAGCCTTGCCAACATGCAAATGATGCAGTGATTTAGGTTTTTTTTGAAGGCTTGGCAAGGTGGCTAATTAGGGGAAAAATACAACATAGTCGTGTCCAACTGTAGCAAGGCTACACTGCTCTAACTAGCATGCTTTCATAATCTTCATTGAGGAAGGTCCGAAGCTCTTGACTCCATTTGAAAGCATTTGCAACTGACTTCTAAGCACAGAAACAGTCAAAATCAGTTCGTTAATGGGTAATTTTCTAGAAATTACTTGCTGTGTCTCTGTAGCACGAAGAAATGGATAGTAGCTTGATTTTTGCAAGGGATGAGCCTATCAAACCCAGTGCAAAGAGAAGGAACAGCTTCTGGAAACCCTGCACAGGGTCTGTCTGGCTTTCGGTGGATGTTGGCATGGTTTATCTAGGACAGAGGTTTTGGAGTGAAATCACTGCGGTGTGCACCAGGGCTTCCTTCACTTCAGCACTGATTTCTGAAGAAATTGGTTGTGCCCAGTCGCACTGCGTTCCTGCAAACCTGGATTTAGGTTTAGACACAATGTGCTTGAATGTATTGTATTGAGGATGAAACCCATAAAAGAAACTGGAGGGAGACAGAGAAATACAAGCAGAAATATTATGCATTTATTTAGTTATTTCAGTTTTGCTGTAAAACCTTTTAAAAAAAAAAAATTTAGCACTAATCTCAGCAAGTAATTCCTGTACCAGCAACTGTCCCACTTGGATGCATCTCTGCCCTAAACATGCTGAATTTGGGGCTTCAGCTCCCTCTTTCTTGGAGGGAGATGGAGACAGGCTAGGACAATGGAAATATCTGTAACTCAGATTCCCCCTTTTCACAAAACCCCTCACGTTTCAGGGGATATGAACTCCTGGTACAGAGAAATCCTGCCTCCAAAGTGGTGCCAGGGGAACCTCTGGGAATAAGCAGCGTGTGATTTCAGGGGACAAGGTTAAACTTGCTTTCCTGGCTTTATGGTTGACCTTTACTGGGTTATGTCGCCAGTGTGAGTGGCTTGTTCAGTCCCCTCAAGACTAGGATCGACCATGAGGTTTAGGAACAGCTTTCTGCATTGAGGATGGACTTGTTTGGAGATGCAATTATTTATATCAGGGTGACTGGCTCTGGCCAGGTTAGGAGCTTACCCACCACATGCTCACAAGAAGATGACGTCTTTGCCTCCAAGGCTTATAATCTACTTTCCAAAAGCTTCTGAGCTGCAGGGAAGCGGGTTGTCAAGTAATCGCGTCGTGGTGTTAGAGACTGCCCAGCACATGCCATCATGGGGCACGGTGTTACAGAGAGCACTTCTGCCAACGTCCGTACCGTTTGCTGGTTCGGAGCAGGCAGAGATGTTCATCCATCTGTGATGCTCTTCAAGAGGATGTTCTTTGCTTCTAGTGGTGGTGTCGTGAGGATGACGTTAGAGCTCCTAAGGGTGTATTTGGATGGTCAGACCTGAAGTGACAGTCTGTTCTTAGAACAGTTTTAACATGCTGTTTTCTCTGCACAGCTGCAAAGCTGCATTTTCAACACAGCTCTGGCCAGAGTTTTGCAAGTTTAACTTGTGTTTGGGGTCAAGTTCCCAGGAAAGGAATGATGTGCATCGTCTGAGCAGCCGCACGCAGCCCTGGTGGGCTCCCGTTAAGTTTTGCCCTTCTTGAAGAGTGAAGCTTGGTCTGCAGGCTCTGTAGGGGCTAGAGACGAGGTAGGAGTGGGATATTCCACTCCTGGGGCTGAGCTCATCTCTCCAACTGGGGTTAAGCTCAGTGGGGACTGACTGAGTGCTGAGGATGGGACTGTCATAGTGCACTGAGTTTTAAAACTCAATGCAAATCTCAGTTTTTAGCTCACTGCAACCTGTGTTATAGCACTGTCCCTAAGATGCGTGAACATCACTGCTATCTTTACGTGGCCAAATTTGTCCAGTCTGGCAAACAGAAATCCCATCCCCCAATGGCTGTTTTCCTATTTGGTTTTCATCTATCACCTCTCCGTGCAGTCTTGGCTTTGTTTAAATTTACTTTCCTGCAGTCCAGCTCTCGCATGTTGACTTGCCATCTCAGATCTGTTTGGTTCTGCGTTTCCTTTGAGTAACTCCAGCAGCGGAGGCTGGGACTCCCCTGTCATTGAGGTTAAAACTTCCCCTACATCTCCAGCTGCATCCCAGGAGGGCTGGTGTCCAAGCAAGGCTTGACCCTGGCCCTGCAGAAACTGAAATACACTGAAAAGAGACAAGAAGCGTTTTTAAAGTTGTTATCGACCAGCAGAGCCTATGCCCTCTCTGGGTTACGATTCTACCGGGCCGGAGTTTGGTGTACAGGTAAGACGTGAGAAAACCTTGGTCATGCTGGTCCACTTCTATAGAGGTGGAATACTGTTGTAACCGTACTTGTTCACCTTCGTTAGCCCTCGTTCATGCAGTATGAGCTCTTCATTGTGTAGGTGGGTAGCAGCGGTGTTGTCCTACCCATGTCCTACCCTTTTTGAAGGGTTTTACACTGATTCCTTAGCGGAGGTAGCCCAACCTGCCCTTTCCCAGTCTCTCTTAGCCAGAGAGATGATTTAAACTCAGTACACTTCGTTTTTCTACGCCTTGTATGTCCACATCCCTGGGGAGACTGCTTATGGGAGTGTGGGTTCAGTTACTGCTGGATGTGGTGTCACATCTTGAGCTGGGACTTGGCGTTGCATCTACTCAGCAACCCTTCCTGACAGGCTGGTGGTCTTGCGGTGCCCTTCAGTTTCTCTAGCTCAGCTGGCTCTTGTTTGAAGACTAATCACTTTATTTTCTTGTGATGGCTGCGGTCTCTGAAAGCAAATATTGAGCATTGCCCTGTAGAGACACGATCACCTTGCAGCGTTACCCTGAGGAAACCTGAGCTACTTGGGAAGGGAAACCTGAGATGCTGAAAGCAACCCAAGGAGATGGAGCAAGTCTGGATGGGATCTTCAGATCTTTGTGGCTGCTGCTCCCTGCTGACAGCTCTAAGCATCATGCATATATTGTAAAAAGCTCTTTCAGCCCAACCTTGCGTGACCCCAGTGCTGGGCTGTGCGAGAGGGTGCGATGGGGGTGTTGCCTCTGCCTTCGCCTAGACAAGCCAGGCTTTGATTGGGAGCTTTTTTAGGAAGATAACGTGCCTCTGTGTTGCCTTTGAACAAACATAAAAAATGAACCAGTATTGATGTGTGACTTGAGTCAGAGGAATTCAGTAGAGAGATACCGGAGCTATGTGAAGGTTGCTGCTGACATTTGCTCTGAGTACTTTACCCAAAGCTTTGCTGACCTGAGCGTGTAAGGTGATCAGCTTACAAGAAAACAAGTGATTCTTAGAGACACCTTAAACTCGAGCGGGTTTTTATATTTATTGCACGTCTTGCTTGCACAGTAAGTTTGGGCCTCTTAATTATTCCTCTTTCCAACCCCTGAGTAATTCTTGAAAATCATGGGTTGTGAATGCTCATTGTGTCCTGGTGGAAATTTACTGATCCTGGTGGTGGCAGAGATGAATGGAAAAACAGGATGTTACATGTGCCCTAAATCTGAAAGGAAAATTGGAAAAAAGAAAATTGTTTTTTTAAAATAGCTTTATTTTGATGTGCTCGTGTTTCAGTGCAGCAGATCTGCCAATTTTTCTCTCAATAGTTGTCTATTTTTTGTTTTTCTCGTCTGCCTGTTTTTGTCTTATGGACATTTTGGGGCTAGCTATACTGTACTGGTTTTGAAGAAAAACAAAGTATTTGTCTTCACGCTGTATTGTTTTTAAACAAACCTGAATTCTGTCACCATCTACTCCATTCAACAGGAAGGAATTTGAAATAAAATTTGAGTCCTTATTTGTGATAGCCATAGGGATACATTTTCTAGGCTTAAGGCTATTTTTTTAATTGTTCTTAAAAATAACTAAAACATTTGTTATTAGAGAAATCATCTGATTTTTAGACTGAGTAATAGATTATTGAATGGGTAGATGTGGAAATAAAAGGTGTGCTACAGAACCTGTGGTCTAGTTCTCTATAGTATGGGTAATACCCTGGTTTATGGACTTTCTTCTTTCTATAATGGCTTTGAAATTGCTGTTTGCACAGAAAAGTAGGAGAATGAAGAACTGTTAAGATGTTTGAGATAGCTCTGGATATAACCTGTGGATAGAGAATTGGCATCACACTAACAATCACTTTCTGGGGATCTCCAGCAAGCCACTGTTTGGGGCATCACGCTGATGAGCAAATCTTTCGTACGCTAATTTTGCACTAGAGATCAAGCTAGCTGGGTTTCTGGTATTACAGGTCATGATAGCTCTGCCTTGAACTCTCTGAGTGAGAAGGACCATCAGTGGAGTCAAGTGCATTGGTCATCTTCAGACTTCAGTAAGATGCAATTCTGCCTGGGGGATGCTGGTACTCCAGTGTAACTGACCACCATGTAATTTGCAAAACAAGATTGTTTTGGGTCCCTAATATCTCTAAACCTTCCTCCCAGCACCCTCGATGACACTGCTTTGTAAACTTTCCACTTACTACTAATATCTCATTGCCTTTCGCCCCCCCCATAGTTGGCACCAGAAAACACTCTGATGTCCTTCCAGAAGGCAGTGGAGCAGAAGATGTACGGAGTCCAAGCTGATGTCGTACTGAGGTAAGCCAGCGTGCTGGTTGGGTGGAGACTCTCCGTGGATGGTCCAAACCATGCTGGTGAGTCTTTCCCATCTGGTCTGTCTGGTTGTTACCAATTTTTCCTATTGAAAAGTGCTCTCATGGGGAATGTATCTGATAACTCCTGGCTGTCTCTGTAACGCACGGGTGCTCCTAATTGTTTCACTGAGATGATGATTAAAGGTGAAGTTGTCCAGGTGGGGGAACCTGGATACCTTTGTCATGAAACTTATCTTCATTTGCAGGAAGATGGTAGTTTATCCTAGGGCTTGCTTTATTGCAGTGAAACACAGCACCTGGTTTCTAGCCTGGCTTGAAGTCAGCTGGCCTCGGGAAGAGACAGAACTGCTTAAATGGGACCTTTGCTGGGATGCCCCAGGTGCAGAGAGAGCGGAGATCCCAAACTGATTTCGTTGCACTGCAAGTCTTCAGGAGGGTTTTTGCCAACCTTGCAAAGCCGTCATGAGGATTTAGCAGCCCAGGAGCAAGCCCTTTCTCCTTCTCCCCTCCCTTGCATGTCACTAATGCTGGGGGAAGGAGGAACCCGGTGATGCTGTTGTCTGTCAAAGTCATTCCTTGCAGGCAAATGTTGAGCTGAATTGACAAGGCCAGTTTAGAGAGGGCTATTTCAAAAACGGTGCTTTGTTCCAGGAGTTCGATAATTCTTTAATATTCTTGTTCCTTTTCTGAACTGTGTTTTTTGCATGAGTTACATAGACGTGCAAGAGGGCAGAAGTGGCATGAAGGGAGCAGTAATGCCTTAGCTTGCTGATACCTTGGTTTGTCTTGGTTCCAGTTATAAACACAAGAAAATCTCAAAGCTGATATTTTATTTTTCCCTGACCACTTTGGAGGTTGGTGTTGATGGGAAGATATTTTTGCCTGGTGGAAGACGGGCTTCTGAACTTTAATTGTTAGGGTGCTTTTTTTCTCTCTATAATTGTTTGAGAGCAAATGATATAAAAACTAAAGAAATTTCTTCCCACTGGGGAATGGAAGGTCATTGTGGAAGGATGAAGTATGAATTGGGATGTATGTGATACAATTCTTGTTCTTTCCAAAATTAGTTTAACTGTTGTGAAGGAACGACTGCTTGACCAGACTCACAGATGAGCATTTGACTTGTGTGGCTGTATCAGTTGCTTCCGTTAGCACTGGCCAAGGAGAAAGGTGGACTTTTGGGAGGAGAGCTGGAAAAGCTCCAAGAGCTTTCCATGTTGTCACTCATCAGCCATCCCAGAGGAACAGTCCAAGTATGCATAGCTTAAACAATGTCCTTGATGGCCCAATTATCTAAGACCCTTTCTAGGAGATTCAAGTGTCTATAAAAAGAGGATTCCATTGACCTTCAGACCAAAAAGTGAGCTATCAATACAGCTGGCGGCAACTTTGGGAAGGGTTTGCGGCACAATACTTGTTGCTATCCTTATCCCTTTGAAAGATGCTCTTTGTGCCTGTGGCTGGATGGGTCCACTCCACCTGGGCTGTTCCCAGGACATCCCTCCTGGGGTGTTTCCGTGTTGTTCTAGGCACATATCAGCCATGGTGGTGGTCTTAGACCCATTGCATCCTACTCCCTACCCATTACACACCCCAAACTGGGTGGCTCCGGTTATAAAGCCAGCAGTGGTTATAAAGCCAACTTTGCTTCAAGCAGCAGGAGCATAGTATTGTTGCGTGTTCCTCTCTCATCTTCTACCTCCTCCCACATCATTTCTTCTAAATTCTGTCTCCGAGTTAGTTTTTCAAACCTATGCCTGCTAATACATTGTGGTTAGCCTAGGGTAATGCTGAGTGACTCTAAGGGGAAAGAATAGAAAGGAGGGAGTGAATATTAAGTGCCCCATAGGATTTCTGCACTGTGGTTAAGGCTTAGCAGTATCTGATAATGCTCTGCTATGAGATGTTAAGACTTGAGCTTCTATCTCCCTTAAACACTCCACACTCTTAATTCTGCAGTGGCTTAGCATAATTTTTTTAAAAAAAACTCTCTGTTAAAAGCCCTTCTGATTGCAGCAGCATGGTATTGCTGTGTCAGCGTGTTGCTTTGGGTTGGGCGGAGGAAGTACTTGGCGTAGTGCATGCTAGAAATAGCAAATGAAGATGCCAGTGACCTTTGTGATAAGGGACTTCTGCAGGCAATGCTAAAGCTGAGACAGCGTTTGCTCCATCATCTAAAATAGTTTCTTGTTTTCCAGCTAGCTCTGGGGGTGAGTGCTCTGGGTTGTCTCCTGATTCAAATGGATTTTGTATTTTAACCCCATCTCCTTTCCAGACCTTATCTGAATCTCCTGTTATAAAGATGGGCACCTTGCTTTGGAAGATGTCATTGTAATCAGGCTGGCTGCCCTGGGTTTGCCTTGATTTCTGAGTGCACTCAAAACTGTTCCCCTGCCCTTGATAGAAACCATCACTCCCCTGTGTGGTGTTGCCATCGATCCAGACACAGAGAATTGGGTGGAAGAAAGCTTAAAAAGGTTTTCAGATTTCCCAGAACAATTGTTCTGTAACAACTAGGTGGCTTAAAAGCCATAGGGCATGCATTTGGCTATTTAGTTTCATCTGAGAGCCATGTTTTCTTTAAGATGCATGAACTTAACAACTCATGTGAGCATGGTTGTTTCCTGAAACCAATTTTCAACTGGAAAAGGCAATTTCAGAGCAATTTTGGTAGCTTGGAACACTTGCATCTTGCTGAAAGCCTGTAAACATTAAGTTCCCATATAGTCTGAGAGCCTTTGTAAAGTCTTACTCATTATCTACTATTAACAATTTAAGAATAGTTTGTGTGTGTGTTTGTGCATGTAGGGTATGGAAAATGTCTGACATTACTGGGAGCTATGGACACTGCAGAAAGTTTCGGTTAGCGTGAGCATTCAGGGCGGGTGTTCTTGTCCAAGCTATTGAGTTTGGCACTCTAGAAATTTTTGAGAGGGTAATGAGGAGGGGGGAGGAAGGGAGGGATGGGGTGATGTCAGTGTATGAATGACTGCAAACATCTAGCAGGTATCTAAGACGCTTTTTCCTCTGGGTATGTTTCATTTCAACTGGTCTTGAGGATGCTGGGGATGTGTTAAGCTGGTCGAGATCTTCACAATGATTTTGATGTGAAGCCTTGAGAGAGGCTGGAGTGGGAATGGACATTTCTCTAGTGCTCTGTACGTGGTTGTGCACCTCCACCTGTAACGGGGCCTCTGACTCTCTTTGCAGCTATGATGGAGTGCCGTTTCTGATGCATGACAAGACACTCAGGAGAACAACGAATGTGGAAGAAGTGTTTCCAGAGCGGGCCTACGAGCACTCCTCCATGTTCAACTGGACCGACCTGGAACAGCTCAATGCTGGAGAATGGTTCCTACAGGTGCGTATGACCATGGAGAGGATGTCCTGAAGCCATGGCCATAGGATGAAAGCTCATGCCTAAGCCCTCTTTGAGGTGGAGAGGTGTAGATCTATCTCCTTGGTGGAGTGGTCTGAAGTGCAGCTAGACCAATCATCCATGAACCACCTTTAGTTCTGTCACCTACTAAACTTAGACTTGGTCTAGAAGACATTGTCTTTCTGTGCCTCTTCTACCACCTGGAAGAAGGGACCTTAATGCCTGGTTGACACCACAAAGAACTTGAAGACCCCCAGGAGGGGGGAACGTGATTTTAAAGAGAGCAGAAGAGGCAGCGTGTTATATACTGTTCCTTTTTCTTTAACTTTTGGAGGCAATTGTCTGTACAAAGAAAAAGCAAGAAATTCAGCCTTTGAAGTCTGGCGGAGGGAGGAATTGCTGTGGGATGGGCTTGACCCGTCCTTTGGCGTGCAGTCAGGTTGCAGGTGGAATTTCTTTTTGCCAAGCTGCTCTCTGGTCAATGGCCGTAACCTTCTTGGAGAGCATTAGCTGTGGTCTGGAAGGAAGGCTGCAGTGCTCTGATACACTCATGCAAGCTTGAATGTGGCTTGCTGAGGCATTGCTGCAGTGATGCAAGCTCAGGTACCAGTTTCATATACCTGCTTGGAGTTCCATGGGTGCTTGCTTGGTGAAAGCCTGAAACCACTGTAGCTTCACTGTCATTCTGATCTCAGCTGGTCTGGAGGTGTGATGGGGATGTCTGTGTGTTACAGCTACACAGAAACGTGTTTGGTTTGCAGGCGTGGTTGTGGGAATGCAGGGAAACTGCTGCATGCAATATGAGAAAGGCCAAGACAGCATCTGGAAGGCTGCTTTTTGGGATGTACTTTGAAGCAGTCATTTCTGAATGTCCTTAAGTCAGGAGCCCGTCTCTTAAAAACCATAGCTCCTCTCCTAGTCGTATAAAAGCAGGTCCTTTTTATTTCTGGATCCTGAAGAATCCTTGGTGATCATGTACATAGTGTGAGAAAGTACATTTTTAGCACCTTTTTTTTAGCTTGCTACCTTGGAAAAATTACATTACTGCCCTATAGCTCTGCTCTTGCTCTGAAAATGGGGCGACCTGTCCAGCACACCTTGCTTTCAGTAAGGATCTTTGACCTCCCCTTGGATAGGGAAACTGAGGCACAGAGAAACACTTCAGCAACTCATAAAATGGTCATCAAGAGTAGCTGTTGGTGTGGCCCACTGTTGCCGAGGTGGGATAGAAAAGGGTCTTCACCTGTACTGGGGGAGTCTGGACTTTGTGGCAGTAAAATTGGGATGTGCTTTGCTTTCAGAACGACCCTTTCTGGACGGCCGGGTCTCTCTCAAGATCTGACTACTTGGAAGCTGCCAACCAGTCAGTCTGCAAGCTGGCAGATATGCTAGAGGTGGTCAAGGACAATACATCTCTCATCCTGAACTTCCAGGACCTGCCATCAGCTCATCCTTACTACAGCACTTACATCAACATCACTCTGGAAACCATCTTGGCATCGGGAATTCAGCAACAGGCTGTGAGTTCTGTGGGGCTGATGATGTTTCCAAAATTGCCCTCCTTATGGGTTTCCCCGATTCCTTGAGTGTCTCCATTTGGACATCAATCCTTGAGTGATCCGTTTTGGACATTAGATTTGAAATGCCACCCTGTGCCAGGAAGCCATGCTGGGGAGGAATGTTCCTCCAGGCTGGTGGTCCCAGAGGCTGAGGTTGGCATGGACCTCTGAAACCCACCCAAGGTGACTGCTGATGCAGCAGCGTGCCCTGGCAATGAGGGGGCTTGATAGCGCCTTGGACTGTACTAGTGGTAGTGTAGCTGGATGGAGGGAAGTGATTATCACCCTTACTCAGCAATTGTTTGTTGTGGGGCTCACCAGTACAAGACAGATGTTGATAAACTGGGGCAAGTCCTGCAGAGGCCACCAAACTGGTCAGTGGACTGGATATATGAAGAAGGGCTGAGGAAACTGAGTCTCTTCATCCTGGAAAAACAAAAGACTTTGGAGAGCTGCTATTAGGTCTCCCAAGAACGGGCAAGGAGGTTGTTGAGAAGTTGGACCAAAGCTCTTCACTGAGCTACGTGTCAGGAGGATGGGAGGCAGTGGTCATAAATTGAAACGGGAGATGTTCCTGCTGGATATAAGGAAAGTAGTTTTCTCTGTGAGGGCAGGCAAGGGTTGAGAGGGGCCTGGAAAGACCAGGGGATCTTCATCCTTGGAGTTTTTCAAGAGCCAACTAGGCAAAGCCCTGAGCAACCTGGTCTGAAATCGGTGCTGGTTTGTGTTGGGGTAGCGATCTCCTGAGTTCCCTTCCCACCGAGCAATTTGATAAGAACCTCAGACATGAGAGAAGAGGCTGAGAGCCTGAAACTTCTCTCTTTGACCTGTCTTGGGAAGGAAATCTGGGTCTTTCACTTGCCCTGTGCTCTCCCTTGAAGATGGACTGGTTGAAAATAGCGTGGTGAGGTTGGCAAGTGGAATGACTACCTCACAGCTCAGATATTTCATCTGTACCGATGAGGTGCATCTGCGTGCACAGACAAGTTCAGCACTGACCTGTGCAGTGATGAGCCCAGGAGGGAATGGAGCTGTTTTTAGCTTCCATCTGTCTTTCTGATGAGTGACACTGCCACCCAGTTTCCAATTAACTCTGTGGCTGCAGTGACAGCGTTATCCGCAAGCCTCTGCCAGCTTGGCTGGAACCAAGGGAGGACCATGCTGTCTTCTCCTTGGGTATTGGGATGGAGAGCATGAGAAAAATAGTCAAAACATAGAGGTGGGGTTGTAAAGTGGTATTTCTTACCCAAGTTTTATGATTCCCTATTGAAAATGGATATGGTTGCATCTGTGCTTCTCTGATGCTTTGGTAGATGAGTGTCACTGAGTTATTGAGCATGGGTTAAAGCAATGCAATGCCCAGTGGTACTGCTGAGATCATCTCGTTGGGCGCAGCCATAAAACTGCCCAGCTTGGTTCCTGCATCCACTGTACATCTAGCAGCTGAGCATCTTAACAGTAATTAATTTGACACGCTTTTAAAGCGTGGTATGAACTTAGGGAAGTCCTTGCTCAGGGTTGGAGTAGATGTAGCCGTGATAAAAGAGTGAATAAAACTAGTCTTAGGCATGGGATCACGAGAGGCTTCTCCTGTTCATCCTTTCTGCACTGTCAATTTTAGCCTCATGTCCTTAGTTCTCTCTGTGCCCTGAACTGGACAGGGAGGACAGATTTTTCACGGATGCCCCATGTCTCTTCTCATGAGACATATCTCTTCTCTCTTCTCATCCCTTCGCATCTCAACCGTTTTCACCTCTAAGATTTTGTGCGTTACAGTCCTTTGGGCTCGAGGATAATCCTGAAATGCATTTGATTAAAAACGTGGGAGGCTGAAAGTCTCTCCTAGACAATTTGTATGACAAATGAGGCAGCCTCTCATGTGATTTTGCTCCTGGCTTGGTGTAAACTGGCTCTCCGCAAAGCTGCCTCGCGTTGCCGTCTTTGCCGTAGCTATCCTCTGTCTCGCTCCCTCCGCAGGTGATGTGGCTGCCGGACTCGGAGAGGCAGCTGGTCAGACAGATTGCGCCGGGTTTCCAGCAGACTTCTGGCCTCAAACTGGATGCAGAGCGGATGAGGGAGAAGGGCATCGTGAAACTCAACCTGCGTTACACCAAGGTCACGAACAAGGATGTCAGGTACAGCCCTTTGGACGCTGTGTGATTGCCCGTGGGCTTCACAGTGGGTGTTCACAGCTCTCTGCATCCTTGTGCCCTGCGTGCATCCTCAGCCCAGCAGTATCTTTTCTGATCATCTCAGGCTGTCTTATCTGCACAGAGGTATCTTTTCAGACAGTGTTGCTCTTGAAAGCTTCAGCTGTGCCAGCTTGTCCCTACCCATTGCCCAGAATCCAGACTGTTCCCAGAAGCTGACTGGTAACTCTACAAGCTAAATCAGTATATGATGATCCATTTTGAAATACATATATATGAATCACTTGATTCTTATTACGCTGTCAGCTCTGGGAAAAAGTGAAAGCTTTTCACAGCGAGTACTTCCAAGTGCTGTTCCATCCTCATTAGCAGCTGCCCTTTGCTTCTGTTCGTCTGCTCCAGAGTTGCTACCGTGGAATTTTGATTAGTCCAAAGTCTGGATATGCTTTCAGAAATTTCTCTTTGCAGAGAATTCACCTGTTTCATTACTGCCCTGTGTCAGCCATTTAGACTCCTCTTTAATGAGGTTGGCACAGCATGAGGTTCCTCTCCTTCTGCTTGAGCCTGTATTTGAACCATGCAGTGTGTTAGCTCCCGGCTTTGCCCTCTTCTTGGAAAGGGTGGATTGTCTCTAGTAGAGCTCTTCTATTTTTTAGAGCTTAAATTTTTTCCCCAAAGAAATACTTGAAAATGAAACAGGTCTGCAGAAGAAAAGTGTCTCCAAAAGAGCTGTCTTGCTGTATATTTGGGCTAGAAGTAGGGAAGAGCTGAGCCCGCAGCTGTTTGAGAGTGTGGTCCTATTTAGTGGTGTCTTTCTGTGGCTGCCAGCAATCAGTCTACTTGCTTGCCCTTCAAACCAAGTCTGTGCTTTACCTGCATGATAATTTCCTGCCTGTTTTCCCCCCTACTTATTTGCTCTATCTTACGGAGAGGACCATATGCCAACTCTTTCATCTATCCCAGCTCATCAGCCCCCATCACTCGTCAATCCCACCTCGGCCGTCTCCAAAATCCAACCTGCCACCCGAGTGTTTCCTCAACCCTGAAGGCTTTGTGGTGCCCAGTCAAATGTTGCTGCAGTCCTGTAGCATGAGCCAGAGCAGGCTCAACAAGCCCTGGTTTAACACAGGTTCTCTCAATTCCCCCCCCCCAAAATCAGCATCTGGATGTAACGTTGCTGCAACCACCTCTGCCCTTGAGAATCCCGTAGCCTTTGGAGCAGCTTGATCGTGTTGTGAGCTTTGAGACGTCCACATCTTGTACGCTGGCCTTCCACCTCAAAGTGCTTTGCCAATGTTAAATTGCAAGGATTAATCTCTCTGCTGCCCATGCAAGGGAGATTAGTCATGCTTCTGCTTCGGAGATAAAGAAACAGAGCAATTTATGCAAATCGTAGGGGTACAAGGAGTCCTCTATCAGTGCTTGGTTTGCTGCTGACAGCTCCTGTACCTCAGCTTGCAGTTTCAGCTTCTTGGAAAATGACCTCAGGAGACTGGAAGCTGTAACTCTGCAACTGTCCCCAAAACAAGGGCATGGAAGTTGTAGAAATTGATGTTGGAAACGCATCTGTCAGTTTTTAATTAAGCAAATTGCCTCTGAAGTGTTACAGGCATCTGAGCGACATGTTAATTTTACATCGACGTGATGAGGCGGTTGTTACAAAAACATGCTGTGTCCATCATTCATGAGCAAGTATCTGAGATGGTCTGTGGCCTGGATCAGATAGCATCCAAGAGGTGAAGAAAGCTTTCAAGTTCAAACTATTTGATTGCAATGCCCTTGGGTTGCTTATGAAATGACAGTACCCTGTTAAAAAAAACCAACAAACAAACCACATTTCATGCAATTCAAACCCAATAATCTAGCCATGATTACCGCAGTGGCTGACGGCAGCAGCTCTTCTCTTGGAGATAAGGGTCTGTCGTTTGCTGGGGGACTCACCTCTCACCCTGTCTGTCTCCTGGCAGGGACTATGCCATGGCAAACCTGAGTGTGAATCTCTACACTGTGAACGAGCCCTGGCTATACTCCATCCTGTGGTGCGCCGGCGTCCAGTCAGTCACCTCCGACAACTCCCACGTCCTTCGCAAGGTGCCTTTTCCCATCTGGCTAATGGTAAGCACGATGCCTGGGAAGCTGCTGTGAACCCCTGGAAGGAGGGGATGCAGTGGCGGGGTGTTGAGGTGGCCGTTGACCACTGTAGCCATACATCTAGTGGGTTTCTCCAGGAAGGTTTGATTGGGTTCTGTGTTTTGGCCAGGCTGCAAAACTAGCTTTTTTTGCCTGTTTTTAATACTAAGGCAGGACAAGTTTTACCTCTGGCTACCCCATTGCTGGAGAAGGAACAACCAGAGACCAAAGGTAGCCACCTTGCCCACCATGTAGCCAATAAACACTCTGAAAATACCCCTAGTACTTTGGGTCTCTGAACCAAGCAAAAATATTCATGTTGGACTGGAGGGAAAACGATGAAATTGTTGTATCAAAGTATTTCCAAAACAAGAGCTCAACTGCGGAGGTGTAAGCACATGTGATGGAGGGGCTATTTTCTGATGACAGATCCTGTTGGGGGTACGACAGGAGGCAGCTGTTTTACGTGCTGCTCTGCCAGATGGGCTTGGGAAAGGGGAGAATAAGATGAGCACAAGGAGAATTTAACATTAATGCGCTATCTGCATCTTTAGCTGGAGGTAGGTCCTCAAGACTACTGCCTAGATGGATGAACATCTATGTACAATGTCCTTAACCTACTGCTTGTGTCTGACTACACAAATTCACACTGGTGCGTGCTGAAGCTGGAGAATTGTAAATGGTTTTATAAAGATTGAATCTGTTGGCAGAAGAGATTATCATCGTCTGAATTGTGCTGCTGCAAACATCTGTCCTCCACCACAGCTGGCAGGAGTTACGTGCACATCACTGGCAGTTTTTTACTCCCAAAGTCTCTTTGATGCTTGGAGTCCTCCTCCAAGGGCTTTTTCATCTGTTGGATTTCCAACTCAGCCCTCTGCTGCAAGTGCACACTCTTATATCACCGGCAGCATAAAAATACCTTGATTTCCTGCATATTGAAGTGCCTGGGTGATGTAATCTAACCAGCTTTGCCACCTGAGCCCCCTCTACCATGCAGGATGTGGCTTGGAAGCTGGAGCGAAATTTTTTTCTTCCAGGCTTTGGCTGCCCAGCACCCTCAGAGACTTTGTTGGGCTTTATCGCCAGCTGAACGGTGCAAATCTATTCTGCTCCATTCACACAGGGGCCATTTGCAGTTGCAAAAATACGTTTAACTTGTATTTCGGTTAAATAAAAGCAAAAAGAAAGAAGAAAAAGTAACAGTCTCCTCTCTGCTCTTGATGGAAATCTACTGGTAAGAAGAGAGGCCATCAGACACGGCATAGAGGAGGACTTTGAAAAGCTTGAGCTGGAGTTCAGCGCCCAACTTGCTGTCCTTAAAGCAGATGCCCAGTGTGGGACCCCTCTCTGCATTTTGGGGAGTCTCTCAGAGCCAAGGTTTGGGTTGCTCTCTGCCCAGTTACGCTGAATTGATGATGGGTTTGATGGGCTGCAAATGTGAGGATTTCAGGAATAGGACGTATAATGGGTAAAGTTTATAAAAAACCCAAAGTAATCCCACTGAAACAACCCTGTTTAAGAAAGAGGAACTGCAGGTGAAACATAGCAATTCCTGAGCAGGTCTTGGTGCGGATGGAGCAGGACAAGAAGTTGTCTCCTCAGTAGGTGCCTGCAGGGCTGAGGAGGCATCTGCTCACTGGGCACTCTTAATAACAATGTGTGTGAGGTGCATGTCTTTGGGAAAAATCCAGTTTTCCCCTTTTGATCACCTTGAGATTCCATTTTTTGTCACTTATAAAACCTTAGCTTGGGACCGAAAGCTTCCAGCTTTGAGCTTTCTGCAGGACTTAAAAAAATATACGTAATACCTGTAATCAGATGCTGGAGTTCGCCCAGAAAGCTGTGTTCATGTCTACCTATTGCTTGGGTGGATCATAGGAAATGCAACTTTTGCCCCAGAGGAAAACCTGCTATTTGCGTTCTTCAGTTGTGAAATACCAACGGTTGCATAAATGAAAAATTTAGATCTGTAGATTTTGTTCTAACTTAGAAGACTCTTGAGTTTTCATTCAAAATAGTTACGATAGCATTCTTCTGCCAAGAAATTGGAAACATCAGCTTTGTGTCTTCGTCTTAATGGCTGCAGCAAATGTAATGCTAAATGTCACCCTTCTGTAATTAAGCTGGAAAGCACAAGGATTGAATCTCCATCAGAAGCATTGGCTAATTAAAGCGTTGCCCTGCTAATGCTATGGTACACTTTCACAGGATAAATTGAGACACACAAAGATTCACTGAGTAGTAAAACAAGTTGATCTCTGCTGAGAGACAGAGGTAGCAGAGTTGTTGGCTCCCAACTGGTTTTATCTGTGTCACGCTACCATTGCATGAACTCATCTTTAAGCATTATGTATTCTGTTTCTCTAATGAAATATTACTTGTGTGCATTAATGGTGGTGGTGGTTGTGATGGATCCATCTGGTATGAAATCAGCAACCTTTTCCTGATTGGGACTAGTCCAGGTTTGGGATAGGAGGAATTCATTAGCATCACTGGGGGCTGTCCTGGGTAGGTGTCTTCTGAGCATCATCAGGAGTTGATTATTATCACTTCACTTTAGTGTCTTTCCCGTCTTCTGAGCATCATCAGGAGCTGATTATTATTATCACTTCACTTTAGTGTCTTTCCTGAGCAGCACAAAAATTAACGTGAAGTAGTGTGCTTCTATGCTGGGTTCAGACGATGAATTCAGCTGGTGTGATGACCAGCGCCACTTGGACTGGCAAATGGAGCCAGAGCTACCAGTGCCTTAAAGGACGGAAATTGAGAAGTACATGCTTATAGCACGGGGACTGTGCAGAACAGCTAACATTAGCACCCAAAGTGGACCCTGCGTGTCTCGTGTGCAATGTGTATATATTTCTGTGTTTTCCCACAGACTTGGATTTCTAAACAACATCTTACCCTCAGCTCGAGGTACAGCCGAGATAGGAAACCTTCAGCCCACAGAGCTCTGAGAAAATGTCAGCACAGGAAAAGAGGGAGAGTTTAAAATTGTTCCTGTTTGCAGTTTTTCCTGATAACGTCATTTTGGATGACAGGCTAGCATTAGAAACATCATAAACATTGTGATTTATATGTGACCTCTGCAGCTCTGTGCTTTTCTTTCTGCCCTGGTTGGTAACTTTAGCGATGTGTGGTCTCTCTGTGATTGTACAAACCCGAAGGTTTAAGGTCTGCTTCTGGTTTTTGTCTTCCAGCCTCCAGACGAGTACCATCTAATCTGGATCACATCTGATCTCATTTCATTTATCGTAATTGTAGGAGTTTTTATATTCCAGAAGTAAGTAGCATTGTTACAGCTCAATTCTCATGTATCTGTGGCGTTTTTATTTTTTTCTTTTTTGTTTAGAGCGTGGGGTGGAGATGGGAAAGAGGAGCACTGTGCTCCTCAGGCGCTCGGATTGCAATAGCAGGGAAACTGTTCATTAAATATCCCTACAAAGACTGCAAACAATAATTCCACTTCTGAGATGTGACATTGAATTGGATGTAGTCGCTGCTTTCTTAAAAAGGATGAGAGATCTCAAAATAGTAGCGAGAGACACCTTGCTCTGCTCATAAACGCGTGTGGGAGAGAAACTGTAAATGCTTTAGGGAAATGGATGTTGAGCGAGAGATTAAAATGCCTTGAAGGAAGAAGAGGAGATGTTTTGAGATTCCACCATTATAGTCTTCAAAAAGAACATGTTAGAGTTTTTTCTTAAATCGGTTTGTTCCCATTTGGATGAAGAAATAGAAATATTATGATTTAGCAAATCAAATCAGTTGCTTAGTTTGATGCATAGAGAAAGTATCTCCATTTTCCAAAGAAAAGGAAGAGTGAGGATTTGATGAAGGCACGGCAGAAGCTTCTCTGTTAGCCAGGGTCCCTGGAGCATAAAACCAAGGAGCAGAGCAAGTTAAGACACTGATAAACCAGCAGGAGGTAAATCGACCTCCTAATGGCAGACTTAGCCAAGCTACCCTCCTCCTGATTATACTGGAGAAAACCGCAATGTCCTCCCGGTGATGTGCCTTTTCTCCTAGGAGGCATTTTAGCTGTCAGCAGTGACGGCGTAATAACCCTCTCTGGGAAGACGCGTGAGCTCAGAGAGAGGTGTGCTCCCTCCAGCAAAAAGCAGCAGCCTTCTCCTGGGAAAAGATGTCATTCTGAAATGGCATCCCCTCTTGCTCTGCCTCTATAATCTCATCTGCTTTGGCATGCACAAATGACTGTCCTAGAGACATCAAGGGACCTACGCTTTCCTTCTTAATATCCAAATGCCTTCGCGTTAGGAGCAGCAATTTAATTTGCTTCAGCCTCATGAGCTAGTGATTTTGCCGTTGCGTTGTCCCAGATCGTCTGCTTGCAGCAATCTCTTTCCTTCCATGAGGTGCGTAACTACTCAGCTATTTTTGCCATGTTACTGTAGGCTTTTGCTCCTGCCAGCACCCGCTATGGATTTAACTTCAGGCCACATATTGGGTCTGTTTATAATTGTGTCTAAATTCATGACTTGCACGGTCCCACGCTGGTAGACCTGTTCCCAATGGGTCCCTAATTCCAGCATGGGATAATGGAGTGAGCAGCAGCTTCAGAATTCTCCTTTCCAATTAAGTTTCCTGACAGTTAATGAAACCACTGACCAAGATGAGATTAAAATTTTTCTAAGAAGTCTTGTGATCTGAACTGTGGCTGATTAAACCTTTCCTCCAGAAGGTCATTGTGGCTGTGTTGTCTGGAAGCTTCCTCCTTTGCCTCAAATTCATCCGTTGGTTTAATAAGAGATGTCCTTGCTCTTTAGACCCTGTATGTCTCTGTTAGATACCGAAATGCACGGAGGAATCTGGAGGCAGGGATTGACCTCTCTGAAGAGCAGAATTTGAAGGTCAAGTTGATGAGAGATTTGCAGTCTTTTGCATCGTCTCCCAAAGTCAGTTTTAGAAGGTTTTCCTGAATCAGACCCAGGAGACCACAGCTGAAGAAATTTAAACTGATTCAACCTGCTGAGTGGGAACTATAGGTCCCAGAGCAGAGTGAAATGATGCTTGCTTGGAGAGAGGGAGAAGTCACAGCTACGTGGACTTTGCAATCGCTGGACTCTTCCTCTCTGCACAGATTGAATTTCTTCTAGTTTGGAGGAGGTTTGGTGGAGTAGGGTGAGAAGAAGCAGGATAAGGAAGGAAAGCATTATTGCAGGATTTGTCTTCCACCCTCAGTGTAAGTGTGATAGAGATGAGAAGAGCTGGAAACTGCCACCAGCTTTTCCCAGGGTCCATCAACCCTGGAGCACTGAGCTGTCAGCCCAGCCTCTGGACCTGACATGAAGAGGCAGTTGCTCAGAGAGGTCTGGCTACATGGGGGTATATCGTAGCAGGGCCAAATGCCTTTTCTTGGATATTTCCCTTGGGACAACTTGTCCCAGGTGAATAGAAGGAAGAAAGAGAAAGTCTAGCACCAGAAGCTGGACTTTCTGCAGCAAAGGGCTTGCTCTTCCAAGAGCCTTGTGCAGGAGACACCTATTTCCCTGCCGTTCCAGTTTCTCCACCACATGAAAGAACTGGTAGCAGTGTTAAGGATATATCAAAACCAAATTGCAGCAGAATTGCCCAACTACTACCTGCTGATGTGATTCAGCTCTGGGAAATGGGGCTTGGCATTTGGCCTTCAGTCTCATGGTGTTGGGGTTTTTTTGGTGTTTTTTTTGTTTGGTTGGTTTTTTGTGTTGTGTGGTTGTTTTTTTTTCCCCCAAAGGCTTTTTTTGGGCAAAACAGAGCTTCTTCCTTCATACAAGGATGAGGGGGGTGGGTGGGAACAGAGCCACTGCTTTGATGTGCTCCTCTTCTCTCCTACGCATGGCTTGTCTCTCCTCCGCAGCCGTGGGTAGGGATTGCTCCTGCTGTTCTGCTTCAGCCCTGGTGACAGGATCATGGCAGCCTCTCTGGAGGGGAAATACCGACTGTGATGACTTCTAACCGATCTTTTTTTGCCTCTTTGCCTTGTTTATTTTCTTACTGCTCTGACTGTTGTGCATGTTCCTCCTCTTTCTCTCTCTGCTGCATTCTGGCATCTCACAGCTATCACATGATCAGGTAATTCTGGTGCTTTCCTCCTCTTTCTCTTTTTCATTCAACCTTTCTTTCTTTCTCCCTTTCTGTCATGGCTTCACTGCAGATGGACAGGGCAGGACGCAGCTTTTCACGATGCTTTCAAACATCTGGCTTCGCAGGGAGACCATAAAGGTCTGAACATTGCACAGTCCATAGCCATGAGCACCATGGAAGTCCAATGCTGAAGCTGGTGGATGTTTTGAAGGCAATCTGACCTTCTGTTACCATGGTCTAAGTCGCTGCCCTTTAAAACAGCCCTATTCTGCGGACCTGCAGCATGTTGGAATTGGGAAATTCCCAGTGGATGTAATGCTTTCACTATGGAAAGAATCCCATGCAAAATATCCCCTTCCTTCCTGCATTTACCAGAGGTTTTTGAGACCAACCTCTTCTAAATTGGCCAGTTCTAAAGAAAATAATGTAACCTGTTCAGTTATATAAAGTAGTGCTTCTCTAGCCCTGGGAATGAATTAATAAGGCTAATAGCTGGGAAAGGTTTGGCTCATCAGTTGTTGCACTTGGAGCTTGGGATCTTTCAGGAGTCTCTCCCCAGTTACACCACTGTTACACACTGGAAATGCAGTGTGAAAATAAATAGCATTGCACCTAGGAAGGGAATGAGCCTGGGATGCTGGATTTGAAGTGCCACCAATTGGAAACCCAGATTTCTCCTTGTATTGGCTGTTTTCTCACCCCCTTGGAGGGAAGCGCTGTCGCTTTTCTGCAGTAAAGCCTTCACCGCGTCCCTACTCGGACCAAACTCTTGACGTGTTACCTTCTCCATTCCTTCCGCTGCGTGCCACGGGGTTGTATTTTATTTCTGAGGACTTGGCTACTCCCTGTTTGTGCTTATCTGCCCCTCTCCCCTGACCCCCGAGGCGGTGGGTGGGCAGGGGTTGACCACCTGCAAGTATTGCCTGCCCCACAAGGTACCTTGGACTTGCAGCGTTACATCCTTGAGGCATCTCCCCAAAACTGGACCTGGCCATGGGGCTGGGCTGAACCCTTCTCTGGGTGCAGGGAGGTTGGGTGTTTCTCCCCGACTCGTCTCCCCCTTGGTCCCTGGCTTGTGGGTAAGGAGAAGACAGGCATGGAGGAGTTGGGCAGGCTTTAGGCAAGAACGGTCGCAGGATGGGGACTCTGTGGTTGTGGCTGGCTTGGCTCTTTGCTCGCTCCATCTTATCACCTCGGTACCAATCAACCCCATTTTCTCCCTGACCTGCCCCTCTCCCACCACCTTTCCCTGCCATTTAGCATCTCCCTTCCAAACCAAGGGTCCAGTTGTGGCCCTAATGTGGTGTATGCTGTCTCTGTGTTGTTGTCCCAGTATTTTTTAGTCTGTTCCCACCCCGTGTCCGTCTGGTCTGCTTTGACGCCAGCCTCCCAGAACAAGACCTACCTGCTGTCTGTCTGGCCTTTTTGCACGCTGCTGTCCTAAACGTGATCGATCACAACAGAGTCCAAGGGGGTAGGAGAGGTGCTATTTTCTATTAAACCAGCTTTCTGGAGACCCAAAGGCTACTGAACGCAGCAGAGAATATTTCATATTGTGTTGGTTGGAGTTGCATCATGGTTAAGTGTACTGGTGGCTCTTCTAAGAGGGTATTTCAAAGTACCCCTGAAAAATAGGGTTACCCTCTCCTAGCTTGTTCAATCAGAGCAATGCACCCCTGTGAGAGGAGTTATCCTCGTGCGTGTTTAACTGCCCTGGGTCTGACCACAGCCACCATGGGAGATGGAGAGCAGAGAGCAGTGCTTGTTCCTCTTGGCAGGAGGAGAAAAGCCCTTGGTCCCTGCACCCCTTTGAGGCTGGGCTGTCTATGCCTCCAAATGGCCCATGCCCTCCATGGGAAGTCTAGGACCTATGGGCAAGAGATCGTCGTGCCTTTTGGCCACGCAACCCAGCCTGATGTCAAAAAGCCTGATGTTGTGGGCAAAGAAAAGACTCGCTGTTGTAGCAATATGTTTTGGTCTTGATTATAGTTTAAGGAGGGTCTTATCCTGTGTTGCAACCACATTCACCTTAGTGGGATCTGCCTGCATGGGACGCTAAGGGCAAAAATAATCTTCTTTGAGGTCAGAGTGGCTCAGCTTAAATGATGATGATAGAAGAAAAAGATTTTATTGTTTTTTATTATTTTAAATTTTATACTTTAATGTTTTTGCCTCCTTGTGCTTCCTCTATATTGCTTCTGTCTCTGGGACTGCGAGTTGTGTCGTGTTGCCATCCTACCCCTTCTTTTCTCTGTAGCAGAGCCTCCACCTTCATCCATACCCCAGTCAAAGCCTGATGGTGTGGTGTCACCCACTGGGATTTGGGAAGGGGGATAGATGGACACCATCTAGATTTTCCTGGAAAAATTGCGAGAACCTCTTTTGTGGATGTTGCTTTGTCAGACTGATACTGTGGACCCAGGCTGGAGATGTGTGGGGCTCCTCAAATCCTCTGCTCCTGGGACTGGGTAGGGGGTTAGAAATTTAAGAGAAGGTGGCTGTCACTTTTTTTAAAAAATAAATAAATTTTAAAAAATTGCCTTCTCTTGCATGGGTGAGCCACTAGATGGTGCGAGAAGATCAGAAACCCCATAAACCCCCCTAAATCCCTGCTGTTTCTCCATCAAATAGCCTTATAGCTGTTATAGCAGGGAGAATGGGATTTACTTGAAAGCTTTCCTCTGTGGTCAGGGGGTAGGATGAACTGGTGGGGTGGGGGCTATGAAAGCCTGGCCTAAACAGCATCCCTTTGCAATGGGATCTTGGGTGCGGCTGCTCTGTCTGAGCCCACCGAGCCCTGTTTTCCCCGTTGCAGCAGCAGCCCAGCTCTCACTCCTAATGCCAGCAGCTCTGCAGTTGAGGGTCTGCTACAGGGGTGCTCTCAGGCTGAAAACCAGCTTTAAAAGTAAAATCCCTCTTGAACTTGCTTGCTGTTGCTCATTACTAACGTCGATAATTTTCTTTGCGTGCATTCAGCAATGAGAATATAAGTTTGGCTAATTTTAAGTCGAGCCAAGTTCCCACCAGCCTCGTACTGTTCATGTGGTGGAAACTTTTGGTGAACACTGAGTTTCATCGAGGCTTAAAAAGTGGAGGGTTTGTGTAGAAACATTTAAGTGTTTAGGGGAAGGGGAGTGTACTGGGAGAAATCACATTTAAAGGCACTGTATGTGACAGCTGCCTGTGTTGGGACTGCGTGTATGTTCCTGCAGAGCAGCTCTTATCGGTGTCTTTGCTCTGTCTCGAGTTTGAGACCTTAAATTGTCTTTGAGCTCTCTTCTCCCACAAGTGTAAGCATGTCACTTGGTGAGGAAAAGGTTATGGTTTCTTTACTTGGCTTGGTCTCTTGTTCTTTCTTCTCTTTCCAGTCCTAAGGGTCAAGGCCAAAGGAGGCCCTACCTCCTTTGGGCAACTGGATAGCTAATGTGATAGAGCGGGGCTTGGGGCATCTGCAGTCCTTGATGAAATTAGTGGAATTAGGATGCTCAAGGTGGTTAAAGATGACCTGCTTGTATGTCTGTACCCCTCTGAGATAACATGCTCATCTCTGAACATCCTCCTATCATGCGGGGTTGCGTAGGTGCAAGGGAGCAAAGGCGTGAAGGTCTCTGGGGCTTGGTGGCCTCCACGTTGTTGGTGGCTGCTTGCATTGAGGATGCTCCTGTGGTTGGGGAGCTCAGCCCCTGATATCTCCCTCTTGTCTTGCAGGTGGCGCCTAGGAAGCATCAGGACCTACAACCCGGAGCAGATCATGCTCAGCGCTGCTGTCCGCCGGTCCAGCCGGGACGTCAAGATCATGAAGGAGAAGCTGATTTTCTCAGGTATGGATGGGTGCTGGTTGGTGGTCAGAGCCCTTTGCTCCATCCCTCAACTGTCACCCTGCTCTGTGCTGATGGAAGAGGTGGTCTTGATAAGGGTGTCGTCATCTGCTGGGTAGGATAAGATGACTGGACTGACCCCGCTGCACTGAACCACTCGTGGCATATGGTCACGGCTCATCCATCCCAAACTGGTGCAGGTCTGAGCACTGATTTGCTCAGAAATCCTGCATTCATCTTCCCAAGTTACGCCATGCAGCTCTCCTATATACTGTCCCACATCTTCTCCAATCTCAATTGTCATCAGGGGGTCAAAAGCTATAAAACCCATTGAAATAATGCCATAGGTCACCACGAGTAGTGGGGATGAGTTTGGGATAGACCTGGAATTCAGTGGCACTATAGGTTGAGGGGTTCCTGATATCCTTGTGCTCCTCCCAGCATTTATTTGTGTTGGAGCATGCTGGCAACGTGTCCATCTCACCCCATCTCTAAGATCTCAGAAATGTATAAAGAGAGGGAAACATTCACTTTAAACCATTAAAGTTGGTGCATGAAGGTGGAAAACTCACATTTGAAGGAATGTGAATATAATCTCCCCTTGAGCTTTGTTATGGGTTTTCTTTTGTTGTATTTAGGGGCTAGAGACCTTCAGAAGGGATCAGGGTTTATTGTACTGGGCACACATGCAGCAAAAAGACAACTCTTGCTTCAAAGAGCTTATTGTGTGACATGCAGGCCTGATTCTGCCCTCCAGAGATGGTGAAAATCAGGTGTAAATCCAGGAAACCCAGAGAGGGAAAGCAGTTGGTCACGGCAGAATTAAACCTGCCCAACATGTTTTAGATGTAAAAGGTCCTAGACATAAAATATCCTTAGAGGTAGGGGATGCATATTAAAGTTTTCTGCCTCTGAAACAAATGTTCTTGCTTAGGGTGGGTGTTTACAATTAAAATATTGGTGGCTGCACGTTTTTCCCAGTGAAACCAGTGACTGTAGGAGTCTGCCCTTTTTGCAGAATGGCTATTTGGGTAGAGATGAAGTTTGGGTATTTTACACCCTTTTACTGCAGGTGACAAATTCAGCCTGTGACATAACATCACGTGTATGGGGGGGGTCCAGTTTTGCCTCTGATGGTGGCAGGACTGTCAAGGTCTGAAATGTAGAGGTGAGCTCCTATACGGAGGCAGATGCTCTTCAGAACTGGTTTTAAACGGGTGCAGTGTTACTAAACCGGGGGTGAAATCCCTGTAGGATCAGATGGATCCCACATGCTGGAATTGCACAGCTGCTCAGTGCCTCAGTTTCCCCATCCATGGGGCGGGGGGGTGTGTCTGGGATTTGCACTCCTGTGACATTGACCCTGCTTTCTCTACCCTCCCCAGAGATCAATAACGGCGTGGAGACCACGGACGAGCTGTCTCTCTGCTCCGAGAACGGCTTTGCCAACGACATGGTCACCCCCACGGATCATCGGGACACCAAGCTGCGGATGAACTGAGAGGCTCTGGTCCAGCCCTGGCATGTGGTGTCCCCCTTGTCTGCTCCGGCAGTGAGAGCCGTGCTCTCCTGCTTGCTGTGGGATGGGAACCTTTGAGGAACTGCTGGTCGGGCAGAGACCCCTTCCCATACCCCATCACTAGCTCCTCCACCTCCCTGGTTGTGAGGTTCGGGGGCTTATTTTTGTAAATATGTAGAAAACCTGAGATTTTTGTCTCTTTTTTTTGAGTGTGATTTTTCCAGGGCATGAGTGGAAATACTGTGTTCATTAAATCCTCAACCTTATGGCTGAAGTTATTTGAATCTTGACGTGACAGCCTGAGTCCCCTTTGGGGGGGGTTCTGGCAAAACCACCTTGGATGTGTCTCCCCTTTCTCCCCCTTGCCCTGCTCCACTCCTTCCCTTGGTGCAGCGACTGAGTAGCTGAACGTTGTGATGTTCTCGTGAAGTGTCGTTTTTGTTATGGGGATTTTTTTTTTGGTTCCCTCTCTCCCTCTTTCCTGGGTAATGAAGTTTTAGCTCTAATGCAACAGGAGGCTGTTTGGAGGAGAGAAGCTTTCCCAGGAGAGGAGATCGCGCTGCTCCTCCCTGCTGAAGTTCAGAGCCAGGGAAGGGGTTGCACTGGCTCAGTCACTTGGGCACCTTCTCCCTGTCCCGTCCTCCTTCCCCAAAGCCTGGATGCTCACAGGGGAATGGCCTTCTTAAAATGTCCTGCTGCAACCTTGAAGGCAAATCCTGAGCGTTGGCTGTAGATTGGCCTCTGCTGGCAGCAATGCTTGCTTTTTTTTTTCCCCCCTTTTTCTTTCTTTCTATCCTCTCCCTGAGTTGGGCTCTCTCAGGAGCTCGGATGGCTTGCAAAAAGCAATGCCGTGGGCACCATCACCGCTCGGATCAGGCTAAAGTGCCTGCCACTCCAAGTGGCATTCACAGTCGCTCCTTGCTTCCCTCTCCTTGCACCCGCGTAGGAAGAGGAGGTGGTGGTGCAGGGTGAGCTTCCCCCTCTCTGGGCCAAGGAAAGGAGATGCCTGTGCGTGAAGGAGTTGTAAATAGTTTGGAAGGTGAAGCAGCTCCGGAGTATAATTTATTCCTGCAAGGAGACCTTTCCTCCTTGCTTTAAAAGCAGGATCTTTAAAGCTGCATGTTCGTGTCCTCCAAAGGAGTGATGGTCTTGCAGCAGATGCTGACGGGCTCATGAAGGCAAGAGCTCTCAGCACGTTTCCAATGCAAAAGGCTTTAAACCAAAATCCTAGAGGTTAAAAGAAGAAATAATTAAAAAAAAAAAGCTCAGAAACCAAGTAGATGATAGTTGAATTTTATCCCCTCCCTGAAACGGCTCACAGCCAGCCCAAGGGCAGTCTCAGCTCTCTGCTCTTGACCTTCAAGACCTCGTGGAGGGGAGCCTGTTTTTGGGTCACTTTACTGTTTGCACGGAGCCGGTTCCCAAGGCAGCTGAAGCCAGCTGGAAGGCTGCTGGAGCTGTGAATGGGTCTTGGCTCAGTCCCTGTGGCCTTCTGGTGTTGGGTTTGCTCCCTTCCTTGCTGGATCTGGGTCGACGCAACGTGAGAAATCCCATTCAGTGCAAGCTTCCTTTGAAGCTTGGTATGCGCTGCCTTGAAAGCAATGGGACCATCAAAGTTGTTTACCATGGAGGGAATGGGAACTGAGGTTGAGTCTTCTGTTGTTGGCCAAGATGGGTTGTAGAGCCCACGAGAGGCTGGGAGAAGTCACCTTGCAGAGGAGAAGGCGGTCTGGGGGATGCTGATGTGCATCACATTCGACACCCAGAAGGCCAGAAATAAGCCGTGATAAAAACAGCCTTGAGCAGTTTGTTCTTGTTTTGGCAGCACTGAACTCCTCTCTTTTTTTAAGCTGTGCTCAGGTAGCGTTTTGAAACGCCAAAGTCTTGGGCTTAACATGTAAGAATTGGAGGCAAAAGTGGCCAACTTACCCATCTAAAAGAAAAATACTCCTATTGATAATGAAAATATGAATTGTGATGCTTTAATAAGCACCTCCTAAGCAGTACAAATCAAACTTCAATTCCTTTGCACCTACCCTGAGTTTTTATGAATGTAAGTGGAATAATACCCTGGTTCATGCTCCTTCTTACCTTTCCCAAATACTGTCCTCCTGTATGGTACTCTCTCAAGTCTGTGAAACACGGTGTGTTTTTTCTGCAGAACTGCAAGATTTTGGTGGATTTTGAGGGCTTTTGAGAACAAAGTTGCTTCTCCCTTTAATGTGGTGCTGTATTGAAACATTCCTGGTGGATTGTCATTGCCAAGTGAGAGATGTTGTTAAATCTCAGCATCTGTTGATAATCACCTGCATGTTCTGTTTTTATCCTTGGAGATGACTTTATTGAAAGGTCAAGTGCTTAAAAGCTTGGAAGTGTTAAAAGAAATCCAACAAAGAGTTGTTTTCACAATTCACTTTTTTCTTTCTTTTTTTTTTATGACAAGACCCAAACTTCATGCATAATGCACTGACTGTTACCATTATCGTCCTGAATATTTGCTACCTTTTTTTTTAAAAGGATGATACTTTTTTGATGAAAATAGAGCTAGACCAAAATAAACTCTGCAATCTCTGTGAAATAAACTGTCAGTGTTCCCCTGCCAGTCTGTGACATTGGTTTGTGTTCTGGGATTGCTTGCAAAATGGTGATACCTTGATCTCCTCCCTGTGTTTCTGCTTTTTCGTGCTTCATGAGGGAGTTACAGGTCTGACCAGAGGGAATTTTGGAGATCTATCCTTCTTGCGATCAGTATGGTTGTGTTGCATCTCCTCTTGATGACACCAAGCTGAGTGGCGTGGTTGACATGCCTGAGGGATGGGATGATATTCAGGGGAACCTGGATAAGCTTGAGAAGTGGGCCAACGTGAACCTCATGAGGTTCAATAAGGCCAAGTGCAAGGTCCTGCACACGGATTGGGGCAACTGCAGTATCCATACAGGCTGAGGGATGAAGGGATCAACAAGTAGCCCTGTGGAGAAGGACTTGGGGCTACTGGTGGATGAAAAACTGTATGTGTCCTGGCAATGTGTGCTGCAGCCCAGAAAGCCAATTGTACCCTGGGCTGCATCCCAAGCAGGGTGGCCAGCAGGTCGAGGGAGGGGATTCTGCCCCTCTGCTCTGGTCTGGTGAGACCCCCCTGCAGTACTGCCTTCAGCTCGGGGGTCCTCAGCACAAGAAGGACATGGACCTGTTGGAGAGAGACCAGAGGAGGCCACGGAGATGATCCGAGGGCTGGAGCACCTCTGCTGTGAGGACAGGCTGAGAGAGTTGGGGTTGTTCAGCCTGGAGAAGAGAAGGCTCCGGGCAGACCTTAGAGCAGCCTTCCAGTGCCTAAAGGGGCCGACAAGAAAGCTGGGGAGGGACTTTTGACAAGGGCAGGGAGTGACAGGACAAGGGGCAATGGCTTTAAACTAAGTGAGGGAAGAGTCAGACTAGACATAAGGAAGAAATTTTTTACAATGAGGGTGGTGAAACACCGGCACAGGTTGCTCAGCGAGGTGTTGGATGCCCCATCCCTGGGAGTGTTCAAGGCCAGGTTGGATGGGGCTTTGAGCAACCTGGGCTGGTGGGAGGTGTCCCTGCCCATGGCAGGGGGGTTGAATGAAATGAGCTTTGAAGGTCCCTTCCAACCCAAATTGTTCTATGATTCTACGGTTCTCTCCCATCCAAGTTTGAGAAGACAGTAGCTGAAAAGCAGTCATGTGGAGACGCAGCGGCTGTGCAGAACAGTAACTGTGGAATAATTTTTCAGTGTTTGTGGCCACATGGGGACAATGATGCATCCGTAGAACCGATCAGGCAGCAGTTTTAAACCAAACAAACGGGAAGCAATTTATTTTTAACACGCATTATGCAAGTCATTGCCCTAGGGTGCTGTGAAGGCCAAAACCCATAAGCAAGCTCAAAGAGGAATAAATGGCTCATATGTCCATTAGCACTTATTAAACACGAAAGTCCGGATGCGAGATCCAGCTTGGTAATTCCCTGAGCAGTTCTTTGCTAAATGTGTATATTAAGGGAAAGGTTTGCTTGGTGCTTGCTCTTTTTTTTTTTTTTTTTTTTCCCCCATTCTTTACCCCAGGGTTTGCTCCCTGCTGCAGACGGAGGGTGCTTTGGGTGAGAAGGGGATCTCCTCTAGGTCAGCGTGGGATTGGTCTTTGTTAAGCAGCTGTTTTCTCCAGCCCCTGAATGGCTGCATTTAACTGATAGTTGAAAGGGATTAAAGTAAATACCCACTATCTCACTGATTGGTGATGGGTAGTCAGTACCATGTCATGAATTGGACTGGCTCTGGGAATACCATTTGAGTGTTAAATATAAAATTGCCCTAGGGGAAGGGGTAGAGCTCTTGATATCTACAATATTGAAAAATCCCTAACTGGGGTTGTCATTGCTGTACGCTAGGGAAAGATACTGAGAAGTTGAAAGGAGAGTCATGCAGGCTGTGTCTGTTATTCAAATAAGAAAGCTGAGGATTGGTTGCTGGCTCTAAGCCCAAATGGCTTGGGATAGCCAACATTTTGCTATTTAACTCTTTTTCTTCCTCTCTAAAACTGCCCTTATTTACAAGAGCTTAGTGGTACAGCTGGGACAGTTCTTGTGGTACTTTGGACCCTTTCCAGCCCTTTTCATTTCTCGGTAGAGTTGTAGTCCTGGGGTCTGGGAGGCTATGCTGATGTGACCATGCCCTAGGCCTACACAGTTATCTACCATAAGAAGGATCTCTTGTATCTTCACTAACGCCTTAACATGATGCAGTGGCTGGGAGCTTACAAAGTTCAAACTCGGCGTGAAAAGTCTAGCCGTGATGTGAGCAGCAGCAGCAGCGGCATGAGGCTGAAGGCTGGTTGCCCTTCTCCTGGACTCTCAATACAAGCAACCTCTTCTTGGCTGAAGCTCCTGGCCGGGTTTCAAGCTCAACGTGAGTATTGACCATATGGGAAATAGGAAACCAAGTTGGTTTTTTATCCCTCTTAAGCATCTTAGTTTTCTCTCTCTCTTTCTTCTGGCCCCTGTTTCTATTCTAGTTACTTCTCTGCCCTTGCACATCTACTTGGCTCTCCTGCTTCGGTCTCTTCTTCCAGAGGCTGGTGACTGCCCTTCACTTCTGCTAACTGGCTGAGGGTGAAACGAGGGTGTCCTGACTCTTTCCATGGCAAGTTGGAGCCGTGGATGGTGGTGCAAGGAGTGCACGGACAGCTGTCCTGGATAGGACCTATTTCCTTCTCTTGGGCATGTGGTGGGGAGGTACAGACCACAGCAGGATCAAGTCCTAGTCACCGTCTCCCTCAAGATGTCTCGCCATGGCCTCCGCTACCTGATTTATTAAAACTCTCTTCTAACTTTCCTCTTGTCCTTTCCATTCTTTCATCCTTGTTTTCTCTTCAGCTTATCTGCATCCCTCCTCCTTCCTGTTCCTGTCTCCTCCTGACAGGCATATTCTGCTGCTCCTTCGGGAAGCTTTGGTCCTACATTCACAGAGCGCTTTCCCCAACAGACACCTGGAATTCCTGGTCCTATAAACTTGTATTTCCCTTTTGCATCTTTTTAAGGCTAGTGGCTTTGTGCCTAATGGCTTCCATGTGCCAGGGGCTGAGCGTTTTTGATGTGAAGAAGGGATTTTGGGGTCCTAATCCACTTGAAGATCACTGCTTCTGGTGTCTGTCTCTACCCTGGGAGGAGACCCAGGGCACTGGGAGCAAAGGAGAGGTTGAGCTCCTGGCCATGCATAGGGCATCCTTCCTCCGGTGCTGTTGAGCAGGCACCCCTTTCAAATACCCTCATGTCCCACAGCTCTGTGGGTTATTTAATGTCCTCTGTTTCATGCAAAAAGGCCACAGGCGTGGGCTGTGGCACAGCCTTTGCAGAGTGACAGCCGCTTTGGGGCACGGTGGCATCACACGGGGAGATCCAGGGCCAAGTGCGGTGTGGTCTGGCTGTAGAAATCCGCTCGATAAGCGGCTTGGCATGGCCAGGGGGACAGCTGCACCCTGCAAAGCCTTCTCATTGTGGGAACTTTGTTTGTTTACAACTCTTAGTAGCTGCTCCCCCTCCCCAGCCCTGAGGCTGCACGCACTGCTTGAAGCTGGGGTTTGATTTTGGACAGGTTGGCAGACCCATGGCTGCAAGGAGATGACAGCTTTGCAACCTTGCTGAAGGGTTTCTAACACTCTGGAGAAATTTTTGCTGTGCCCCACAGGTCAGGATCAGTGCTGTGCTGTCGTTTGTCCTGATGACCCGCTCCCGGTTGTCTCTAGCTCCATCCGTGCCCAGAGAAGGTTGCAGCCTGGCAATGCCAACTCTATCAGGGTGGAAGGTCCTAAGAACAAATCCCCCAACCCTCCCAGCCCACTGCACAGGCTGGGAAACCACAGTCCCTTCCAGGTTGCCAGTGATTCATATGCAAATGCTGGGAGCAAGCAGGATGCCAGCTTGTGCCCTGCATCCCAGTGATGGGAGAGGAGCAGAAAGGAGCCAGCCAGCAAACGCGGCGGTGGTGCCCCGCAGAAGGGTGATTTCACTGGGCTGACAACATGCAGGGGTTGGTTATTATTCGTATTTCTCTTCTATAATAATATGAGTTGTTCAAAGTGATGCTGGGCAAGGGAGGGAAGGCTGGTTTGACAATCTTCAGCACGAGGGTTACTTTGTGGAGCTTCCCCAGGGATGCTTTGATCCCTGCTACGAGGATTTAAAAATTCAGCTGACAACAGGGATCGAGTTAGAGGGGAGGGTACAGAAAGCCAGGCGGGGCAAACCTCCCCTTCTGTCCTCATCATCCTCAAGGACCTAATTACCTAATTATCACATGTTAATGAGGGGGACTGCAGCTCCTCCCTGACCCAGTCCGTCCCTGCTCCAGGCGTTTTTTTTGCTCATGGAGCCGTATTTTATTTATCAGCTTTAGTGTGGTTTCCAGCGAGACAGAGTCTCTATCAAATGAATCCTTCCACCTGGACCTCAATTTGCTCTCCAGATGGCTCGGCCTTCAGAAGCTGCCCTGGTGTGTGATATATTTTCCCTGAGCTGTGATGGGTTTTCCTTGGGTCCTGGCTCCTCCCTGGCTAGCTGTTACTGACAGCTGCATGGCTAATGCCCTGTAGCTCTCTGGCATGTCATTCAGGAGAAACAAAAGCAGATTTCTCCCCCACCACTCCAGCAGTGAGGATAAAGGGGATGCTTTTGTGCTTCCCCAAGCATTGCTGCAGGAGGGCTGGAGTGTTCTTTGCGGAGGGGACCGGTCTCCGTGCAGAGCCCCAATGTGGATGGGAGCTTTCCGAGAGGGAAGTTGAGTCTTTGCTAAGTCCCACCTGGAGAACAGCATCTTCTGGGCCAGGTAATGGACTTTTTTGCTGCTGTGCGGTACTTGGATGGTGAGGGTGACCCAGAGAGGAGCGTGCATGGGTGAGGGCAATGGGGCAAACCCACTCTCTCTTTGGCGCTGGCATCGCTTGTCTCATGGGTAAACAGGAGGTATGTGAGCTAGGGATGGGCATTTGGATTAATTGGGGAGGGAGAGGGGATGTCTCTTTGAAAGGAGGTCAGCCTGAACTGTTTCTTCTCCTCACTTAGCTGTGCGTGATCTTGGAAACGTGTGCGGATCAGGGAGAGAAGTGGGGATATATGTGTTTTTCTTTCTTGGCTGGAGGCGTGTGTGTCGGCAAAACGTGGAATCCACCGTGCTCTTTGCAAAGGTGACTCTAGAGAGCTGCCTTTGTTGTAACTTCTCTAAATCACTCTGAACCGACTGACAGCTGTTCCCTTCTGTACAGAGCCCTGAGCACCCGTCGGTGGTGTTCGGGCTGTTTAGAGCCTTCACCCACTCCCGCAGGATTTCTTAGATATTTAGTTAGGGCTTGTCATGCTGCTTCACTGCTATTTAGGTCTCTGCATCTCTCCTGTGGCACGGGCAGAGGTGTTTTCCCCACTGTGGGGGGATTCTGGAGGCACAAAGGATACGAAGACATTTTCTCAGGGTGGTGGAGTGAAGATTCTCAGGACTAGATTTGGTTATCCTAACCACAGCTACCCTGGTGCGGATGCAGCCGGGAGGTGTCCTCTGGAGCATGGGAGAATCTGAGCACCCTTGGGGGCTGTGGGTCAGACACGATGGCTGGCTGGGAGATGCAGGTGTAGGAAAAGAGATGAAGGACTAGACCCAAGGCAGAGGTTTTGACTCATGAGAAATTCAAGGTAATCCTCTTCAAGGGATGTGCTACCTGCCTTCCTGCAGGGCAATGTCTGGACACCATAAAGCCACCGATGCCTGGTAACTTGTCACCCAGGAAAACCTGTGCTGCTGCCAGAGGCTTGTGGTGAGATGCTCCAGAGCCTGACTTAAGGGGCCCTTAAGAGCAGAGCCTGAGCCCCCCACTCCAAATGGGCTCTTTGCTGTCACAGAGCCTCAGAAAAGCAATCTGAAACCTGCACAACTGTGCTGGAAGCTGTGATCAGGAGTGCTCTGCTGATGGCCCTCACTGGCATCCCCGCTCATGGAGTAGTGCTGACTCTGCCATGCTTTTAAAACACAGGTGGTGGCATTGCTGTGCCCCTTTTATTTAATACCCAGCTGGTGAGAGCAGTCAGGCAAGCGCAGGTTTAACCCCCTCCTTACTCTTCCTCTCGGCGTCTGTGCAAGAGGAATGGGTCAGGGAGGGCTTTTGGGGAGAAGTGGGGGAAATGAGGCGGTGCCAACCTGTTAGTGGGTCTAGGATGGTCGAGGCAGTAGTTGAGGGTTTGAGGACTTTAATTCACTCACCGTTGTTGGAGATAGTCAATTCTTGTCACTATTTCCATGCCATGATGCTCCTCTGCTTTTCAGACCCCCCCTTCTCAGGCAGAGACCCTTCTCCCCAGGGGTTACATTTTACAGGTGATCCGGCTGCCTACTCCTGACTTGAGCAGGGATAGTCCTTTTGGATGTGCAGCTCTTTGCAGCCTCCAGGCTGAGAACATGACTTTCCCTGTCCTACAGGGATGGGTCCTGCTGCTCACGCTGTCAATGTGAACTGTGAACCGTTAGAGCTTGAATGAGAGAAGTCTACTGTGCTTCATTGCAATCACTTTAAGAAGTCCTTTAAGAAAGATTTAAAATCATCTGGAAACAAACCTAGCAGAAAAGTATGTCAGTTGTAGACATCACCCCTGTCTTTGGTCATGTCATGTCATAGCTACCTTTGGCAAATCTCAGTCTCACATCCTTACCTCTGGATTTTTTGCCTGAAATAAGACATCTGGGGAAACACAGTGGATAGAAAAAATCAAAATATGGCATTTCTCCCAGCTGGGCTGTACTGTGGAGTGCTAGCATTTGAAAGGATGAGAAAACCACTCAATAAGAGCTGCGAGGTGTCAGAAAAGAAGGAAAGGGTGTCAAGGTGGTACAGCATGGGTTGGGCAAGGCAAATGCCTTAGAGAAAGAGCTCCGAAAAGTAGAGGTTTGTATACGGAGATGGGGTTGGACTGGAAATACCCTAGTGCCTATCGTTGCGCTGTGGTTTGGAAGAAATGTTGGTTCCTGAAGAGGAGCCATGTGTGTGGATGAAGGGGCAAAGTCTCAGTATATTTTGGCTGGAATCTGTACTTCCTCATGGCACCGAGGAAGATGCAGAAACCATGATGGTGTTGGACATTGCAGTTGGGTATTTTAATAGTGTACTGTTCTCTTGTCTCCTTCACTGCTTCCCAATCAGGATGCATCGAATGATGAAAGAAGAATCAAGTTTCAGGACAAGCAGCCTGGAAAATGTAAGGCGGGACCCGAGCAAAGAAAAGCTGCACATGAAGCTCTGCAGTGGGTCCTGCCACGCGGAGCAAATCCTCCAGACGCTGAACTCCTACAGGCAGAGCGGCATCTTCACAGACGTGGTGCTGTTAATTGATGGACAAGAATTCCCCTGTCACCGTGCCACTTTGTCAGCCAACAGCACGTATTTCCGGGCCATGTTTGGTGGCAACCTCAAGGAGGGCCACCAGGATACCATTAATATCCAGAAGATATCTGCTTCCACTATGTCTCTCCTTCTTGACTATATGTATGGGGGGAACATCATCATTCAGGAGGACAATGTTGAAGGCATCTTGGAACTGTCTGACTTGCTGCAGATCTCCAAGCTCAGAGATGCTTGTGTCACCTTCCTTGAAGGCCAACTTCACCCGTGCAATTGTTTAGGCATCATGAAGTTTGCTGATTCGTTCTCCATTGCGTCTCTGACAGAAAAGAGCAAGAGGTTCATGCTGGAGTGTTTTGTGGAGGTGTCGTGTCATGAAGAGTTCCTGGAAATGGGTGTGAAGGAGCTGGTTGAGTATCTGTCCGATGAGCAGCTGGTGGTCCCCAAGGAGGAAGTGGTCTTTGAAGCAGTCATGCGCTGGGTACGACATGACGTACCTGCCAGGAAGGGAGCCTTGAAGGACCTCCTTGAGCATGTACGTCTGCCCCTGCTCGACCCCACCTACTTTCTGGAGAAGGTGGAAATGGATGGACTCATCCAGGACTCAAAGGAGTGCATTCCTCTACTGCATGAGGCCCGCAAGTACTACATCCTTGGGAACGAGGTCAGCTCTTTGCGATCAAGGCCCAGAAGGTAAAACACAGCATCTTCTTCCCTAGACCAGCATGGCCTAAGTTGATGCATCTTAAAGTTTGAGGGGAGTTCTTTGGTTGTATTTTCTTTTTTTTTTCCTTTTTTTTTTTCCTCTCCTCCGATTGCTTCTCTTTTGGCCTCCTCGTTTCCAAAATGAAGACATTGGAGATATTTGCTTGGCTTAGAAGATTCCTGTGAAACTTATACTAACGCATGTGACACTTTTTTTTGTTGTTGCCAAGAAGTGCCGTAGTTGCACTGCTTTGGGTGTGCAATGATGCTCTCCAGATGTGTGTCCAGACTACCGTCAGGAAGGGATGTTTGTAGCTTTTTATTTCTATCTGCTTTCACCAATGGGTAGAGCACTGGGTTGAGACCTGTTTTCCATTCCCAGCTCTGCTGCTGGTCTGCTCTCATTTCACCTCTTTTGGTCTCTCTCCCACTTTCTCTGGGCTGTCTGTTAGCAGGAAGGCTTGGACCATTCTCAGCCCTCCTGGCCATCAGTGTGGTGCCTAGCTCAAAGGCATTGCTGCAGGGTCAGGAATTAATGTCCAGGGATAAAAAGCAGTTACTGTCCAGGTGGCTACTTAAGCATCCCCAATTTTTTTTTCTTTTTTTCTTTCCATTGATTTATTGATGAACAGCAAGAAGATAAAGAGGTGCTGGCCCAGGCAACTGCCAGCGTAAAGTGGAGGAGGCAAAGAAAAAGTGATTTTTAGGGTTGGGTGTGTGGAGAAATCTGCACCTTTTTGTGACTGTGAAGTCTGGATATGTCCAGCCACATTTTAAGTCCTTGCTGTTTCTTCGTGGTGCCACAGGTCCCTTAGGGTGTGCTTGGTAAGAGCGCCGATGGACACCTCTGCTCTGGGGTGGGTTGCCATATCAAACTGAGTTGGTTTGCAAGGCTCCCTATCCTTTTCCAGAGGACGCCCATGACCATGGGGCTGCAGGACCAGGTTCTTGTGCTTTCCTGCTCTTCAGCCCAAGGACTACAGGGTTTTTTGCCACCCAGTGGAGCGTCCTGGGCAGAAGGCTGGAGGTTGCCCCAGTGCATCTCAGAATTCCCAACCTGGCATTTAGGGCATGTTTTTGTCAGGTGGAAGAGATGGCTTGACACATCTTCTCTGTGCTGAATACCACAACGGGCTATTACACACAGAACTGCTCAATGACAGGGTCTGTGGTGACCTCCTGAAGGATGCAAACACCTAAAATTCACTGGGGATAAATCCCAACCCCCCCAGCAACCACATTTTACCTCCCTCCTTCCCAGCTTTGGTCTTAAGTGAATTGTCTCAGCCTGCACAGACCATGGCAGAGCTGGGGATTTGACCAAGTCTTTCAAATCCTCTTTCACCCTCCTCCTTCCTTTCCCCTCCTCTCCTGCAGAGCCGTTCCTCTCTTGCCATCTCCTAGTTGGCAGGATTTTCCTTCCCCTGCTGTCTGTCTCGTCTGTTCACTACTACTAGGGCTGGAGAGAGAGTGATTTCCTGGAAACACTTCTCTCTCCAGGCAGAGAGCTTGCTGCAGGCAGGCTGCCAGGAACGGCTTTCCATCCTCAAGGCTGTGCCTTGAGGATTATTGGGTTTGATTGTGCTGGAAGAGGGGGAGGGTGAGTGGCAGGAGGTAATCTCACGAGGGACTTTTAAAGGTCATTCCTGTTTTCTATTGGACCCTTCCCACCCAAGCTGGGAGGTGCCTTTGATTTGATCGTGCAGACAAAAGGGAATTTGCAAGGGTGAAATGATTTACCCAGAAAATCAGTAGCTGATGCAGGAGAGGACCTTGCCCTATCCACGGGACTGTGCTGCCAGTGTCCTAGATAGGATGGGAGGGATGATGGAAAGGAGTAGCCTGGCCTGGGGACTTACCTGTACCTTTCATGATCTAGATTCATGGAGCTGGCAGAAGTCATCATTGTCATTGGGGGCTGTGATAAGAAAGGCCTTCTGAAGCTGCCCTTCACGGACCTCTACCACCCAAAGAGCAGGCAGTGGACAGCCCTCTCCAGCGTGCCTGGCTACACCAAGTCAGAGTTTGCTGCCTGCACACTGAAGAACGATGTGTACATCTCAGGTGAGATACCCTGATACCAGATAGTCCTTTCCTGGTTGCAAAGAACAGCACAACCTCTGCCTGGACAGGCGTTCCTTAGGTCTGTTCAATAGGACTCATTCACCTGCATCCCAGCTTTGGAGCAAAGTCACTTCTTGGTGAAGTTTATCCTTAGGTGGTTTGGATTTTGCTGTCCCAAGGAACATTTCCATCTTTGAGAGGGAGGATGGCAGTATTAAAAAAACCTTTCCCTCTTGCTGGGTATCTGTCAAAACTATTCAGTTGTGGAATGAACTGGTTGTGGTGTGTGCTGTCAGACAGGGTTTCCTAAAACATCAGTGTCTCTTGCCTGTCATAGAATCACAGAATGGTTCAGGTTGG